CCCCACTTAGCGGTCATCTCGGTCGTGAGAAGACGTACAGCTCTGTGAGTTGCCACTAATACACCGAGCTGTACAAATGGACAAGCAGATATGTGCGCACGTGAGAGACGTTTCAAAAAATGAAACTCTCTCCGAATGTGGCGGCGCTGCTGGCCAGTTTACCGGTACCCTCTGGGTGTTGGCAGTCGATGAGAAGGGACTTTGTGTTTGGCCTGCCAAAGGACTCACAAGGGCGTGGTGGTCTTTGTGAACCTTTTGAGCAAGATGACTCATCTTGCGGCAGTGCCGGACACCATCGACGGTGTGGGTACAGCGACGCTGTTTGTAGATCGTGTCCTTCGACAACATGGACTCCCAGAGACAATCGTCTCTAATGGAGACCCACGCTTCACTGGGATGTTTTGGTCGGCAATCTTCAGTGTGCTGGACACCAACTTGACCTTGTCAACAGCAGATTATCTGCAGACCAATGGTTCGACTGAGCGCGTGAATCGCGACCTTGAATACATTCGTCGCCGAGACGCCGAAGCGCTGGGGCGCCATTTTGACAATCGTAGAAATTGCTTCGAATAATGCAGTGCATTCATCTACCGACTACATGCTGTTCTACGTGAACGGGCTTGTTAATTCTCGCGTCCCGCTGACGCCGACATCTCATGGCTCAGGGCTTAGTCGGGAAGGAATAGCCGAAAGGCTAGCTGATGTCAGCCCCATCACTGTTCGTAAAGCAGCCGATGACTTCCTGTCTACCAGACTGAGTGTCTTGCAACACGTTCGCGATGCGATGGCTGTAAGCCAAGGTATGCGGAAAGAATATGCAGACGAATGAAGCAGATGAAATTTTGAAAACATTGAGGTTGAAGACGTGGTTTAATCAAATGCTAACAACTATCCCCTACATGCAATATATGCTAACTTCAAAACGAGGCTCCGTCCACGGTTGATCAGACCTCTTAAGTCGTCACCAAACGAGACTTAGCGTATACGGTGAAACTTTCAAGAAGATTGCGCACCCACCAGGTGCTTTATGTGGACTTGCTTAAGCCGTACCGGGATCCGGTGCAAGTGAACGCGAAAGCGTGGCGCTTGGGCGGCGCTCAAAAGCGCTCGGCCTCCCAGAGGCTGAACCAGCAAATGGTTCTGAGCACGGAGTGCAACACTTCATATTTCCAACGGCGCAAGGCGCTCCAACGTCTCAAAAAGTGAGGTATTCGCCTTCTCGACGGCAAGAAGCCACTCCGACAGTGCGCGATAGTCTTCAACGCGAGGCTGTCGGTGCACAAAGTGCTCCAAGCTGTCGAGGTCTTCGGCACAGCGGTATGCGACCTCAGCAAGATGCTCGGCGGAGTACCGATGACGACGGACATTTTCCATCAAAAAACGAAGAGCATCGCTAGTCACAGGACGGCTATCGACCAAGTCGTCATCGCCCGCCGCCGACTCTTCTTGATGAAAATGGTGGCGTCCACTATCACGTGGAATGCCTTGTGGGTCGACGTTGTCGACAGGGCCGAGCCCAATATCTTGTGAAGTGACGAAGATACCCAAACTCCAAGAACTCTCGTGGGTTTGAGGTGCCACTTCGGCAGGACTGCCCAGACGTCGTGAAAACTTATGATCAGAAGGTTCATGTCGTTCTGCGTTGTCGTACGCCGCGTGCTTACCGGCGGTAGCCCGGAGAGCCGAAGGGCCATGAGCCGAGCTCAAGTTATGGCCCTGAGGTTGTAGACTCACCCGTGTGAGAAACCACAGAGCTCGCGGGGAATGATGGATCATTCCATGTGTTGGAGGAAGTCAGCGTTGCGCTTTGAGTTGGGCAGACTCAAACCAAAGATGGCGTTCTACTCGCACGTCCATTTATTTGTAGTCAGACAGCGAGGAAAGTTTCCGGTGCCGCTGCACCCATCACTCGAAGAGCTTCTCATCATCTGCGGTGGTTTTGCCATGGGCGAGCTCCACTAGAATAGGGCACAGAAGCGCCTCCCCTTTGAGCGCGAAGTCGAGCGCGGTACCTATCCATTAGGATTTCTTGAGATACCAAGAAGGGAGCTCGGAGAGCTTTTCGCTGGTGAAGCTCAGCTTGTGCAGTGACCGTGGGCCCGATTCCGTAGACACCAAACGATCGATTGATCCTGTATTTTACATCAGTAGCGGGACCCGCCGGGCGGAAGCCGTATTCCACACGAGGGTCCAAGACCGAACCTGAATATGAGCGCATGAGAGCCGTGTGGGTGGCCTCCAACTGCTGCTCTTGTGCTTCGTCGAGGCGATTGGTGATATTACCACTTTCCCTCGAAGTCACGAGGTCGGGGAGCGTACACGGTGTCCGCAAGGTTCGAGCAGGGCTCACGTCGCGCTGTTGGTGCACCTCGTTCTCCCTTTTTTCCCATGCTGGGAAAGGAGTATCCGACTCGTTGTTGATTTCCTCCAAATTATCGACGAGAGATTACGTCACTGGTTGTGGAACCTGATGTGTGGCGATCCGCTGCCGAGGGCTGTGGATGTGCTTCCCATGAAGCCTCGGACATAATATCCGGAGATGCACCGCGTGCAGAAAATCCGCGGGCGCCCTCGAAACTAGCGAGGCTGGGTGCTTTTCGTGTCATGGACACAGGGCTCATTGAGCGGAGAATGTTTAAAGATGGCTCTAGGGACTTAACGGTGTCACAGACACGCGAGCCTCATAAGAGGCAGCAGTTAAATGTAAATTGTGGGTATTCACAATTTTGATGGTGGGGAGTGTAACGGGGTATCACGTACCCTGGTATACAGGGGTGGGTCACGCAAGATGGTGTGATCGTACAAAAGTGTGGATTACACAAATTGGTGTAATCACACAATGGTGTGGCTACACCACTACAAGAAGCCACTACGTGCGTACATCCCACCACGGTATTCCGAAGAGCATCCTTTCCAGGAATCGGCGTCTGTGTCGGAATGGTGGCTGCGTTGAGCTTATTGTAAGCATAAACGATACGCCACTTGCCGTTCGGCTTCCGACAAAACGTGGGTGTCGAATGGGGAGACTTGCTCTTATGTACCATCCCTGCGTCGTGCTTTGCGCGAAAAAAGGTGTCAATGACGTCGCACTGCTCCTTGGGCAGGGGTCATTGGCGTGTTACGCAGTATTTCAGTAGTTATGCATATGAATTCGGTTTTCTATGCAATCAGGAAAACCTATGGTCTTAGATATAGGCGGCTCTGCCGAATACAAAACATATAGATACAGTCTCAGTTCTGAGCGAAAGAGCGTCTTTGCCTTCTGCGTTTACGCCAATAATATTTGCGGCGGTGGAAATATCGAGCTGCCTGTTGGCGAATGCGTCTTTGCAGCGTAGCTCTTTGCTTAGAGGAAGCTTACTAAGGTTACCGATCTTACGTTCTAAACCAGAACCAGTACGAGTGTAGCTGACCGACCATGTCACGCATGACATGCAGCGACTGGTTTGATACCTGAGCAGCGCTCAGTGGGTTACGTACCACTCAACGATAGATTATCCACAACGGGGTTCCAACCAACTCGGACATTTCAATGTCCAGCACGTTGACCGTCTCGGTCCAGTGCTCTCGCCAATAGCGCTTTTGTCTCCTAGCAGAGGTGGGTTCATGACTCGCCAAAGCTCCACCAGGAGACGTGCGCGTAGCGCCCAAGGTCGTTGACCTCCAAACAATCCATGGCTCATGGTGTTCCAACCATGTCATTCCTAT